GGCATTTATGAATCCAACCTATTTCACAATAACAAATGAAACTTCAGACCTTTGACAGCAAATAAGTTTGTCAGAAATAATGACAAACTTAAGAAACAAAACAAAAAACCCACTGATGCCAGGCTGATGGCACCCCAGGAGGCTCAGGCAATCTCAACACCAACAGCCACAGGCAGGTGGGACAGGAAGTCACACCAAACTCCTCAAACATGTGCAAATGAGCCCAATGACATGCAGAAAGGGTACTATAACACAACTAAGTTGAGTTATTCCAAGAGCATCCATCACTATCATTTACTATCAAAATTCAGGAGAGAAATCATATATTGTTTCAATGGTTATAAAAAAGCATCTGAGCCGGGTGCGGTGGCTCACGCCTGTAATCCTAGCACTCTGGGAGGCTGAGGCGGGCGGATTGCTTGAGGTCAGGAGTTCAAAACCAGCCTGAGCAAGAGCAAGACCCCGTCTCTACTATAAATAAAAAGAAATTAATTGGCCAACTAATACATATATATATATAATTAGCCGAGCATGGTGGCGCATGCCTGTAGTCCCAGCTACTCGGGAGGCTGAGGCAGAAGGATTGCTTGAGCCCAGGAGTTTGAGGTTGCTGTGAGCTAGGCTGACGCCACGGCACTCACTCTAGCCTGGGCAACAAGCGAGACTCTGTCTCAAAAAAAAAAAAAAAAAAAAAATTCTCAGTAAAGCAAGAATACAAGGGAACTTCCCTTATCAAATAAAAGGTATCTACAAAAAATCTACAGCAATGTTGCTTGCACTTAGAGTACAACATTCATTCTTCCTCTGTAACCAAGACTAGCCAAGAACAACTGCTTTCCCCTACCAGGTACAAGGTCAATACAGGGAGCAACTGCACTACTGTATATACAAAAGAAACAGAAAATGAAAATTTAAAAGAATTTTAAGAAACGTGGACATAGCCAAATGGTCTAATGTGCAGTTGGAATCCTGGAGATTGGAGAAAAACAACTAAGAAGCTGCCTCTTGCAAGAAGCCTTCCTGGACCAACTTTCAGCCCTCTGGCAACCAAAGTGCCCCTGTATTTTCTCATGGGCTTGTCTCACATCACTACAACTCCTGTCAACAGTCTTGTCCCCAGCCTTGTTCCCTTTACTAGGAATGTTCTTCCCCTGACAAATTCCTGCTCTGCCTCAAGGAGGCTCTCCTGATCATGACTGGAAATACACACCTCCTTCATTCTCTTCTTTATCCCCTCAACACCACTTGTTGCAGCCTGCAAATGTGTTTAAATGTGTATTCACTGGCTATTTCCCTCCCCAAGTGTTTGTAGGTTTGGTTCACCACTGTATTTCTACTACCTAGCAATAGAGCAAGTGTTCACAACAATTTGCTGAAAAAAGGAAAAACCAAGTAGGACGCGCTAGGGCAGTGCCCCACTCCCACCACAGTAAGAAGGGAGGCAGAATAACGCAGAAGTTAAGGGAACAGGCTCCGCAGACAACAGATCAAGGATCAAATCCTGGCTCATCCTGGGGAACCTTAAACGCATCACTGAATTTCTCTGGGCCTTGGAGTAACCACCTCACAGAGAAATGAGGAGGGTTAAAAGGACCTGGGCCTACCTCGGCGTCGCGGTTGAGGCGGTACACGTAGAGCTGCGAGGTCCCGGCCACCACGAGGTTGCGCTCACTGTTGTTAAAGAAGTTGCAGTACATAGAGAACTCGATGCCGGTGGGCGGATGCGCCTGTTTGTACACGGCGTACATGGCGCCAACTCTGGGCTGCGCGGGACCGGAAGGGGACAAAATGAGGGGGTCGCCCGCGCAAGAGCCCGAGGCCCAGCCCGGCGCCCCTCCCTCGCCTCGCGCCGCCACCCCGCTCCCGGCCACCCGCCCACCTGCCCACCTGGCAGTTGGAGCCAGATCAAGGGGGACCGGGACGGCTGCGAACTCGGCCCGGCTGGGATGGGAGGCTGAGCGCCAAGGTTCCGGGCTACCGCGCCTGCGAAGCTCCGCCGCGCGGGAGCGACGGTGAGGGCGACAGCGGCCCCTGGTGGCCCGGGGTGGCGGGACGGCCTCGTGGCTCCGCTACCGCTGGACGTCCTCCGCCTGAAAGCCCAGCGTGAGCCCGATCCAGGGGACCTTGGAGGGGGGGGGCGGGGCAGGCATGGGCCTGGGACTTAGAAAGGGAATAATAAGAAATAAAACAAGAAAGCATAGTCATAACCAGCCGGTCCACCGGTCTGTAGTCCCAGCCACTCCGGAGGCGGGAGGATCGCAAGCCCAGTAGTTCAAGACCAGCCTGAGCAATGTAGTGAGACCCCTATCTTGAAAAAATATGAATATACATAGTAACACCCAAGAAAATGGGTTGGAAATATGTGTTTGTGTCACATCCAAATCTGCCCACTCACTGATCAGTGGACAAATGAACCACTTAGGTACTCCGGCAGCTGCACTAACTCTGAGCAACACCCAAGTCTTGAGAAAAACTGTCCCCCAAGACACATGGACAAAGCTCTGGCTCCTACATCACAGACATCTGTTTTGATTAAGTAAGGCAGTGCCTACAGAACTCTCAGAGGAACCTGGCACTCAGCAAATACCCTTACAAATGAATGAGAACCCATCGGTGAGGGAGGGACAGTCAGTGTGGAAAGAGCCAGAGATAACGGAGGAGCAGAGTCCTAGGGAGGGCAGCAGCAGGAAGGATGTGACCCAAGATCCTGCCCTATCAGAGAGAAGAAAGAATGTGGGCAGAGGGGCTCAAGGGGAAGGCAGAGGCAGCCTTGCCTGTAGGCCTCTTTAATAGGAGGTGAAGTGAGGCTGTTAGTAGAAGTGAGGGCTTAGAGGCAATGGGGAGGGCAGTGATGGACTGAACGATGGACATAGAAAGGGGCATCTGTGTAGTCATGGGCTTGTGGAGGGGCCTGAGGCCACCAGCACAAGCCCCCACAAGTTCAGGGCTCTCTGTGCCACCATTCAGGGGCTCTTGCCCTCCAAAAGCTAGCTGAGTTCGCCCTTGACCCCTGCAGCATGGGCCCCATGGCCCATGGGGATACTGGTGGATACTGCTGTCCAGACCACACTTCGGATGTTCCCTGGGGGGCAGGTACTGTGCTGGAAGCTGGTGGTTTTCTATGCTTTCCTGCCCCTGCACCTGCCCCATGCTCCTAGTCTTCTCAGGGGTTGGTGAAGGTTCTTGAAGAATCAGTGTCCTTTGGGAGTTGGCTGGGGCATATGGTTTTCCCATGCCCCACCAGTCTGGGGACCTGTGTCAAGCCAAGAAGATCTCAAACATGGCCCTTCCTGTCCAATTTGCCTTACATCCCTGTAGGCGTGCCTACCCCCTTCCAGCACAGGTAGGCCTAGGGAGCATGATACAAGGTAGACCTCTATTGTTCTGCTCAGGTGCCTGTGGTATTGAGTGAATGGCAGACTCGATCTGATGCCCCCTGGGCTCCTTACCCCTTTTATTCTTTCCTCCTACCTCCTTTCTGCTACCTAGAGAGTACATGTGATGGCTAGAGCTCTAACAGCCATTTTGGACCTTGGGGTGTTATGGATTGAATTGTGTCTACCAAAAAGATATATTGACACCCTAACCCCTAGATCTTCAGAATGTGACTTTCAGATGAAGTCATACTGGGTTAATGGGTGCAAAAATATAGTTACTTAGATGGCATTAACAATATTTGATAGCACAACAAAGCGATTATAATCAGCAGCATGTTAAGGGCCAGGTGCAGTGGCTCACACCTGTAATCCTAGCACTCTGGGAGGCCAACGTGGGAGGATTTCTTGAACTCAGGAGTGCAAGACTAGCCTGAGCAAGAGTGAGACCCCATCTCTACTAAAAAAAAATACATAGAAAAAAATTAGCCAGACGTGGTGGTGCATGCCTGTAGTCACAGCCACTTGGGAGGTTGAAGCAGGAAAATTGCTTGAGGCCAGGAGTTTGAGGTTGCAGTGAGCTAGGCTGATGCCATGGCACTCTAGCTCAGGCAACAGAGTGAGAGTCTGTCTCAAAAAATAAATAAATAAATAAGTTAGGGTATACCTTAAAATAACTAAAAGAGTAGAATTAGAATGTTTCTAACACAAAGAAATGATAAATGCCTGAGGTGATGAATACCCCATTAGATTAATTTACATTGTAGGCCTGTATCAAAACATCACACGTACCCTATAAAGACATACAACTATCATGTATCCATAATGATCACAATGAAAAAATAGGGGAAAAAAGATGAAGTCATATTGGAGTAGGGTGGCTGGTAATCCAATATGAGTGGTGTCCTTATAAGAAGAGAAGACAGACACACCTGAGAGACCTGAAAGCAGGTCATGTGAAGACAGAGGCAGACACTGGAGTTATGGTGCCACAGGCCAAGGAACACCTGTGGCCACCAGAACCCAGGAAAGGCTCATCGCAGACTCTTCCCTGGAGACCTCAGAGAGAGCACAGCCCTGCTCACACCTTGGTTTTGAGCTTCTAGCCTGCGGGACTATGAGAGAATAAATTTCTGGTTTTAAGGCACTCAGTTTGTGGTAGGCTGTGTTGTGGCACCCCTAGAGACTACAAGGGAACTCTGAGAATTAACCCCTCTGCCAAGGACAGTGGGCCTCCAACCATGGCCTGCACACACTCTTGCCTGACAGTCTCCAGGCTTATTTTACACAAGAAAGAGAAATAAGTCTTTGTCTGTGTAAGCACAGTTGGTTATTTTGTTTTTTTCTGCTCTGAGTCAACAAGTTTAATTACTGATTGGAGACAGGTCCCACCTGCTGCCCACACACCCTGGAGAATTTCTCTGGCCCCATTCCCCAGGCAGGGTCTGGCAGCACAGGGGAGGGCAGCCCCTGAGGGCAGCCAACCTCATGGCCAGGCACCACTGTGGGAAGGAGGTAATGCCCTTCTCGGTGGCCTTTCTCAGCAGAAAGCATGGCTGGGCTCCAAGGACAAGAGCGTCTTTATTGGAGTTGGATCTGAGGACTCCAAAAGGCCTGGGGCTCTCTGGTTACTGGGTAGTAGGTCTGGGTGTGCTGGGCGGGTCTAGGGGCTGAGATAGCCCAGAGCCGGCAGTCAGCGTCCAAGGCCTGAGACTGGGCCAGGGATATCAGAGGGTGATGTTGTCCTCGTACAGCGACAGCAGCAGCAGGACAGTCCAGCCACCCAGCAGGCCCACGTTGTGTAGCAGAAAAAGGAGCCAGGGCCGCCGGTCCCTCACGTTCAGCATGGCCGGGAGCTGAGGAGCAGGAGGGCACCGGGTCAGCGCCCGGGTCAGTGCCCGGGTCAGCGCCCCACCCAGGGCAGCCGCCACTCCGCCGCCCTGACCATGTCGCAGAGCGCCACGTAGAGGAAGAGGCCGATGGCTACCGCCAGGATCCAGGCCTCGCTCTCCTCGCCGACTCCGATTGCGAGCGCCACGTAGAGGCCGGCGAAGGCCGTGAGTGCCGAGGCCGCGTTCAGCAGCAGCGCGCGGCGCACTGACAAGCCCGCGTGCAGCAGGGCCGCGAAGTCCCCTGGGGGCGGAGCCGCGTCAATACCCCCGCCCGCCAGGCCGCCCCGGCCCCGCCCCGGCCCCGCCACGCTCACCGAGCTCATGTGGGACTTCGTGGCAGAACACCGCCAGCGAGGTGGCCAGCCCGGTCTTCCAGGAGGACGCGAAGGCGGCGCCCACCGCCAGCCCATCGGCGAAGTTGTGCACGGCGTCGCCCAGCGTGATCAGATAGGGCAGCAGCCTCAGCTCTGCGGGCGCGGCGGCAGTGGGTCCACGTGGGCCAGGCCCCCTCCTCTGCGTCCCTGGGCCCCGCCCGCGCCCCACCAGACTGCAGGCACCCAGCCCTTCCGACCTCCCTCAGGGCTCACCTGGGCTCAGTCTCCGGGGCTCCGGGTTCAGCAGCTCCGGGCTCTCCTCCGCCACCTGGGAGGAACGGGGATGAGCTCCTGCTCGGAGGGGGGAGGCACAGACCTTGGGGGGGTGGGGAGTGGAGGCGTGGGAATCGGTCCTGGTGGAGGGGCTCTGCGTGGGATAGGGGCATCAGGTACCCACTCACCAGATCTGCGCGGGAGCCCTCATGGGGCTGCTTGGGCTGCCTGAGCTCGCTGGGTGCCAGCTGCAGGGGCACACCGTGGCTGTGGCCGCTGTGGCTGTGGCCGCCGTGGCTGCAGGGCCCATCCTTCTCCGGATCCTGTGGGGATAGCTAGTCTGGGCCTGCCAACTCCCACCCCACCCACCCAATGGGTCCAGTCTGAGAGCCTGACCTCTGGGTTCCTGGGCAGCAGGAGGTTGAAGAGGTTCTCAAACAGGAAGAATGCGTAGAGACCAGAAAGCACGGCCAGGAGGCGCCAGGTGGGCTGTGGGCTGAGGCCCTCCCCGCTGTGCTCCCCGCTGTGCGTGTGCAGCCCCAGCACCTAGGGAGCAGGAGGCATGGGGCTGGGGGCCTTAGGGTCCCCTTCCCCCAGACAAGGGGAGAGGGGTTGGGGATGGAGAAGGGCCCCAGGAGGGCATGCCCTGGGAGTCCCAGGGTGGGGAATGGGGGCTCCTAGCAGGTGAGGCAGACCTTGGGTGTCAGGTGCAGAAGGGCATCGCCGGTGAGAGCACCCACTGCCATGCTCAGAAAGGTCTGCATGACATAGTGGGTGACCCCACTGCAGCCAGCACATGTCAGCAGCAGGAGGCCAAAAACCGCAGAGAGGCAGATGAGCAGCGTGGCCAGGGAGCCATACAGATACCCTGGGGGCAGGAGCAGCACCATGAGAGCACCCTTCCCATTGCTGCCCCAGCCCCTGCTTCCCAAGGGATGCCCAAGTGGGGTCTAAGAGTGAGCAGGAGCTCACTAGGGCTGCAGGTGGTCAGTGTGCATCAGGCCTCTGCTCACACTGACTCTCCTGACTCCCAGGTCCCCACCTTTCCCTGCACTGCCTCCTCTTTCTACCTGCAGCCCCTGCCCATCTTTCTCCAGCCTTCCCTCATTCTCAGTAGCTCCCTCTTCCCCTGGACTGCCCCTCCCCCACTAGCTACCAGCCCCACAACTATGGCGTGGGCACTTACTCTCTGTCTGGCTGAGCTGGTCCTGGATGAGGGGCCTGATCTGAGGGCCGCAGGCCCCACTCAGCTGCTGCTGAAGCAGGGCAGGACTCAGTTGGCCCCAGGCCTCAGGGGACACCCCAGCCTGCTCCGACACCCCATATACAGCCATCACGTCCCTTGCACTGAGGCACACCTGGGGGTAGCAGGACAGGATCAGGGTCTGAGGGACTATGGGGCCCCATCTCCGCCAAGACCCTGGCCCACGAGCTGCTCACCGTGTCCCACATGCTGGAGCTGTTGTCAGGGGTGGAAAGGAGGACAGGATCCTGGTGGCTGGTCCCCCTGCCCAGATGACTGTAGTCACTGTGGTCACCCTGGGACTCTCTGCCCACCCCCAGGTGCTGCATCAAAGCTGCCAGCTCTGGCAGGGAGGACAGAGTCAGTGCACAATGTTTGTGTGGGCTTTAGCCCCGCCCGACATGGAGGTTGGGGGAGCTTAGGGCACTCCCCACTGCATGTCCCAGCCCAGGCCTCACCGGCTAGTGTGATGTTGGGGGCTTCGCCACTGTGCTGCCGGAACACAAAGTCCACAAAGTATTGGGGGCTTGGCAGGGCATGGAGGCAGGACCCACTTCTGACATGGTCTATCAGGACAGCTAGGACCTGGCCTGGGCTGCCAGGAGCCCCTGCCCCTGCTGCTTCCTCCAGCAGCTGAGGGATGTCTACACAGGTCTGGAGGAGGAGACAGGCTTTAGCTGCTGCCCACAGTGTGACCTGGCCTACAGCTCTGCCATCTCCCACTCACCCCAGGATCTGCCACCACCAGCCTCCTCAGAACACTTCTGGACTTGGCACCACCTCTTCCATCTCACCTAAGACCTGGGCTCTGCCTCAGCCCCTCCCTGAAGCCACAGCCCATCCCTGCCCTGGCCCAGCTGGTGCAAGCTCCCACCCTGCCCTCTGGACTCCTCGCTGGACTGCAGAGCCATCTTGGCCCCCATCTCCTGGGGAGGGCCCCTCCCCAGGTTCCTGAGCTCCTGCCCTGCTCAGTGGTGAACACCCATTTGTGGATCCCAGCCCACTCCAGCCTCTGAATGCAGCCCCAGGAACCCAGGTGCCCAGAAGGCTCTGCAGAGGAAAGTTCCACCCAATGCTGATCCTCGAGCCAGCTGGTCTGGGTCCTCACCTCCTCCACAGTGGCCTGACTGGCAGTCTGAGCCTGGATCCTCTGGAGTAGCTGGCTCAGGCCTGGGGTCAGGGCCCCAGGGCTCTCGAGCATGGCCAGGAGATGGTCTGCGTGAGAGGCCCAGCGGCCAGCCTGAATGTCCTCGCAAGTGCCCTCTGGGTTGCTGAGGTAGAGGACAGCGGCAGCGCTGAGGCGAGCGATGTAGCTGGATGTTAGGACCGGCCCTGGGGGGAAACCTGGCTCCTCAGGGCTGCCCAGGGCCAGGGCATCCTCTACAGACAGGCACTGTGGACAGAGACAGGTGGGCAAGGCAGGGCTGGGCCTGCCAGGCAGGAAGAGGGAGGCCCAGGCTGAGCTGTGTACAGGGAGCTGCTGCTTACCCCAAGAGGCCACCTCTATACTCCTCTCCCTGGCACATCCAACACCCCTGCACCATCCCCTCTCATGCCCCCACACCCTGCCCTCCTATGTGCCCCACTAGAGGGGTGCACACAGAGGGGTCCACAGCAAGGGTCTCCCATCCCTGTCTGGCTTCTTTCTGGAGCCACTGCCAATTTGACAGCCTTGGGGCCAGTGGGGGTGGGGGGAAAGTGGAGCTGTGTGTCTCTAGAGAGGGCAGGCCTGTCTGAGCTCTGAGCAGAGGCCGGAGCTCTGGCCTGCGGGCAGGGCCAGGGTGCTCTGCCACCGGCCTCGGCCCGCCTCCTGGAGTTTGCCCAGGCCCTTTGCTGCCGACTGGCAGGGTGGAGCAGACGGGAAGGGGCTGGGGCTGGGGGGCCGTCGGGTGGGGCCCTTACCTTTCCACACGGCCCGTCAGCACAGTGCACACGGGCCGCCAGCGTATTTAACAAGCCACCCAGGGCCTCAAGATCCAGAGTGCCCTGGCTAGAGGTGAGCAGGCTCCACAGATGGCCAGGCTGGGCTGCTGTCGCTGTCATCACCAGCACGGTCAGCAGCAGCCCTGGCTTGAACTGCTCCAGGATTGCCATGCTCAGGCCCCAAAGGGCTCCGCTGTGGGGAAGCTGTGTGAGTCTGGGCCAGCTGAGGGCCGCTCAGGTGGCCTGGGGCCAGACGGGGCTGGGCTCTACCTACCCGCCCCAGCAGGAGGACCTCTCCCAGGTATTTCCTGCAGGGCTCTGTGATTGGCTGCTGGAGGTGCCCGGGTTAACCATTCCAGCGTCAGATCCTCCCTGTCGGTGGTGTGGAGCCATTGTCTGGGGGGGGGGGGCAAGGGCTGGGCCCCCACCCCCTTCCCCTGGGTGGGCGGCCTGAGCACCTGCTCCTCTGACTGCCACCCCCTCTGTTCCCCCAGGGACTGAGGCATTCTCTCCTGTGAACTTCTTTCTGGGGACCTGTGGCAGAGGTGCAGGGATGCCCCCACAGCCACAAATGGCCATCCCAGCCCACACTCTGCCCCTTCCCCGCTGCTCCCGGGGCTGGGGACCTAGTGCTCTCTCCTCCCAGGTCCTGGCCTGTGTCCTCTCTGGGGACTAACAGGCTGGAGTCTGAGGGAACCTAAATGCATATGCTGAGTCATGCTCCCCCCTCAGCCCACCAGGGAAAATCCCCAGGAAACGGCCAAAGCTCCAGCACAGACAAACAGGAAGAAAACTAGAAGACTAGGACCTTGGTCCTGGCCACCACCTGGCCTGGGGCTCTTGGGGTCAGGAAGAGGTTGAGGCAGGATCCTGAACTCTGGGCCCAGCTAGGGTGGGGGAGGCTGTGGTTCCTGGCACTTCCACTCCCTGCTGGCTCCCACTCTGATCTTTGAACTCTAAGCCTTATCTCTACCTAGGTGGCAGTCTGGGGGAAGGGGCAGACCCCAGGGAGCCAACACCTCCCCCTACCCCCAGAGACTGGAGGTCCAGTGTGGGTGCCCTCTCCTGCTGGGTTCAGCCAACCTGACCCTTGGGTGTGGTTAGGGTGAGGGAGCTGGAAGCCTGAGGACTCTGCCCCTCTGTCTTTCCATGGGTGGGGTGAGCCTGGGCAGGGAGGGTGTCAGGCCTGGGGTTAGGTGCTCCTCCCATCTGCCATACTGTGTGCTGGTGCTAGGCAGCATGATGCCCTCCTGGCTGTGGACACCTGCAGTGTGGCATCCACTTGCAGGCCCCTAAGGTGGAGCTGGGGCAGGGAGGGGACAGGGGGAGCTCACTTGGGGATACAAATGATCTTTGGGCCCCTGGGACAATGAGGAAGACAGCTCTGAAGACACAGTGGGCCCAAGCTGGCTTTTTCCCTCTCCCATGGCCCCAGGACCACAGGGCTGGCTAGAGGCCAGGACCAGGCCAGGCATCTCTACCCTTGGCTCCTGGCCACCCAGTACTCAAAGGCTGTTAGCTTCTGGGCTGAGGTCTTGGCCTAGGCCTGGATGTTGCAGCCCTCTCATGTCTCTGGGCCCAGCGTTAGACCTGCGTGAGCCCTGGAAGGTATGTACACAGCTGGCCTCCAGTGGACCTCAGTGCTGGGCCACTGCACTCCTCTCACTCCTGGACCCCCACCTCTCCCAGCTGATGCTCTCCTTTCTAGCTGCTGAGAGCATCACCAGCTTCCTGAATGTCTGCCTGTCTGGCAGCCTGGTGCCAGCTCCCCCGGTGCAGCCAGTTTCCTGTACCGTACGCTTCTCTGCATCCCCAGCCCCCACTGAAACATCTTTTGTCACCCAGCAAGCTCACTGCCATTACTCCTATCCTAAAAAGATCACATTGAATAGCTTTAAAAAAAAGGGCAAAAACATAAACCCATGTTCACAGCAGCATTATTCACAATAGCTAAAAGTTGGAAGCAGCCCAAATATCCATTCATGGATGAATGGATAAATAAATGTGGTCTCTCAGCCTTAAAAGGCAAGGAAAATCTGACACATGCTACAATAGGGATGAAGCTGGAGGACGTCATGCTGAGTGAAATAAGCCAGTCACAAATGACAAACACAGGCCAGGCGTGGTGGCATGTGCCCATAGTCCCAGCGACTTGGGAGCTCGAGGCTGTGCCCAGGAGCTATATGATCCAGCCACTGCACACCACTCTGGGTGACAGTGTGAGACCGTCACTGGAAAAAAAAAGACAAATACTGTATGATTCCATTTATATGAAGTGCTTAGAGTAGTCAAATTCACAGAGATAGAAGTTAAACAATGGTTGCCAAGGGACGGGGAGGAGGAATGGTAAGTGTTTAATGGATGCGGAGTTTGGGAACAAGGACAAGTTCTGGAGGTGGACAGTGCTGATGGTCACTCAACACTGTAGATGCAGTTAATGCCACTGAACTGTACACTTAAAAGTGGTTAAAATGGTGAATTTTATATTTCATCATAATGAAAAAATTAAAATAGATCAAAACCACCTTCCCTGGCCAACTGCCTCCTTATGGCTCCTCTCAATACTATTTGTGAGGCTTTTGGCACTCCTAAAGTGCCCCCTCACCCACACATGCATGTCAAGGTCACCCAGAGCCCCACAGCCAGTCCCCAGGAGTGCCCTTCTTGGTTTCAGTCTGCCCTAGACTCTGCTGCCAGGGCCTCTTGGGGGCTCCCACCCATGTCCTCACCTCCTTTGCTGGCCTCTAGTCCCACCTCCCAGTGCTGTGCCTCGGAACCCACCTGTCCTCCAGCTTCCTGCTAGAATTCCTGTTGTGCCCTGGAGACACTGAGCCTACAGCCTCCACAACCTCCCCCTGAACCCCAGCCTCCCATGTCCAGTCACCCACTTAACTCACCCACTTAATGGCTGCCCTTGACCACCTGAGGCAGCTCCAACTCAGTCTGTGCATGTAGATCTCTGCCTGCCTCCTCCACATCCTATTCCACGTCCCCAACCAACCCACACACAATGGCAACTCCACCCTAGTTCTCAAATTCTGAAATGCCACATGCCTCATTCCATTGGTGCTAGATGCCATAGGTTTCAAGAAGTCCTGTTGGCTCAGCCGTGTGGCCCTGCCGACCCATGAATTGGCCTGGTTTTCACATGCACTGCTATGAAGAAAGTGGTTCAATAGCTGGCTGGAAGCCGGGCTCAACTGCGTTAAAGTTTCCCAGGCAGCTGCACACTTGAAACAATTCTGTCTACAGAATGCTCAACATAATCCTCTGCTTACTGGATACAGTCGAGTACAAATCCCTTCAGACTGCAGAAGGTCTGTTCCTTTTTGTAGTAAAATGAATCTTTCAAGGGTTTCCCAAACCACTTCTCATGAACTAGCGAATATTCAAAAAAGAGCTAAATTTGAAGCCTGTACGAAGATTATCCTTATAAAAAATGTGCCATAACATACAAACTTCTACTTTTTTTTTTTTTTTGAGACAGAGTCTCGCTTTGTTGCCCAGGATAGAGTGAGTGCCGTGGCGTCAGCCTAGCTCACAGCAACCTCAAACTCCTGGGCTTAAGCAATCCTACTGCCTCAGCCTCCCGAGTAGCTGGGACTACAGGCATGCGCCACCATGCCCGGCTAATTCTTTTTGTATATATATTAGTTGGCCAATTAATTTCTATTTATAGTAGAGACTCTTGCTCAGGCTGGTTTCGAACTCCTGACCTCGAGCAATCCACCCGCCTTAGCCTCCCAGAGTGCTAGGATTACAGGCGTGAGCCACCACGCCCGGCCAAACTTCTACTTTTGTCAGTACTTAACCTCTGAATTTTCATGAACTTCTATTCCACAAGGGTAATTGTTTTATACATACTGGCAGTAGCATACAATAAAATACTCATTAAAAAAAGAAATCTTGTTGTTCTTCCAGCCACTGAGAATACGCTAAACTCCAGCATGACCTTTATTCTGATGCCATAGTTGGTAAAATGTGAAATAATGCACCTCTTAGGGCCCACAGATGAGGCTGTGTGGTTTGCGGCTGTCTCCTGGAGGACAGCCTCTGATAGCAGCAGGGGCAGCCCTCACTGCACTTGAGGCACGGCCAGTCACAGGGCTCCTGGGTGAGGGACTCAAGGCCTTTGCAGAGGTGCTTCCAGACCCACTTGATGGCAGGCATGACAAACTCCCCCAACGAGTTATCTGCTGGGGCTGCATGAGTCTGAAGTCCTGGGCTGGCCTGTGGTGTCCCTAGAGTGGGAGCTGCAGGGGCTGCAGCCTCTGTACCTAGACAGTGAGGACTGTTGGGTGAGTCCCCTGGGGTCTGACTGTAGTCCATGGAGCCCCCAAACAGCCTGGAACTTCCAGGTGAGGGGTGCGAGGTGGGTGTGGCAGGAATACTTTGCCCAGGTGAAGGATATGTTCCCCAGGCCTAGGTGTTGTGGAGGCTCACCCCTCCATACCTCCTATTTACCCAGGTAGCACCCACCAAGGCTGCTGCCCCTGAATGCAACAGCCTATGCAAGGGACATGTGGCAGGGATGGAGCCAGGCTGCTACACAGGCTGCAGGCTCTGTGCTGAGCCTGCCCCAGGAGGGCAGGGCCCTACCAGAAGGCCACGAGGGCAGACAAAACATGAGAGGCCCGGAGGGCTGCCCACAGTAGAGTCAGACAACAGCTTTATTGTGGGAAGGGGACCCCAAAATCCTGACACCACGGACACACAGAGAAAGCTGCTGCAAATAGGGACTTGCACAGACGTCCAGGGTGAGTGAGGAGGACGAAGGAACCAGGAACCATCACCTATGAATATCATCCCCTCCTCCCCGTCATGGGCCAGTGCTACAGGCTCAGGCGTGCAAGAAGCGGTTGAAGGCATTGTAGGCGGACTCCAGGTCGAAGAGCATCTGGCGCACCTGCGAGTCGTCCAGCTCATCAGATGCTGACATGCCACTCAGGGTCTGCAGCCTAGGGAGGCACAGCACCACAGGGGTGGGGGTGTGTGGAAGGGCCTCAGTGGTGCCACAAGTGGCTCTACGTGGCCAGGTGGGACACTCACCACTGGCTGACTGTCTGGCGGCCCTCGAAGTCGGGGGGCAGGTGGCTCATGCGATGCATAGTCTCCATCAGCTCCCGCAGGTCGGGCTGGATCTGCAGACACGAGCACACAGAGCTGGGACCCCCCACCCCACGCTGCCCCCTTCCACCTATAGCCCTCTCCCTGCCGATCCCTGTACCTCATCCATGGCGCGGATCTCCAGGCGCAGCTTGTCCATGACTGTGATGAAGAGCTGGGGACGAGTGTGTGTGTGAGGCCTCTCAGGTCCACGGGGGTTGGGAACCGGCCTCATGGCTCACAGCTGGCCCTACGGAGCCAGGCTTGGGCCACCCACCGCCTCCTCAGCTGCAGTGGTCTGCCTGCTTGGGGCTCCTTGCTATACCCCATTTCTGAGCCCTGGGGACTGCGCCTTGCATGGAGCCACTGCATTCATGGCCCTGCCTGGGCCCCTCCTGGGGCAAAGGTGTGTGTGGGTGCTGGCTGCCTTGAGAGCTATGCAGGAACTGGGGGAGCACACACACAACCCCTTCCCAGGCCAGCATCCTGCCTGAGTGGACCAGGCCTAGCCCCCTCCCAAGAGTCTGCAGGCTGCCCAGGGACTTCAGGGGGACTGCCTCAATGCTACCCCTGCCATTCCCAGATGAAGGGGCACCCTCTACCCAACAAGTTAGTGTGCTCTCAGCTCTGGAGGCCCCAGGGACCATGCACACATGTGACTGGATGTGGCAGCCTCAGCCCTCCGCACCGAGACGACGTCGGCAATGCAGCGGTTGAGGTTGCCCTTGTCATCCTTGATGGTGATGGGCCGGTCCTCTTTGATCCTCTCCATGGCCAGCGGGCAGTCCAGCTATGGGGAATAGATGTGGATGCTAGGCCTGAATGGCCCCATCCCAATGACACCCACACCTGTGCCCAAGAGTACCCATCCCGTAAGGAACTGGCTCACTTACACGGAACTTGCGACAGAATTCATCGATGGAGCTGATTTCTGAGCCCTGAACCTGTCGGAAGGCAGCTTTGTACTGCACCAGGAGCCGAGAGCAGGCAGCAGTGTACCTGGGGAGAGCACCAGCTGCTGTGCCCAGCACACCTGCTCTCCCTCAGTGCAGCCAGACAGAGCAGCTCTCATGGAGGGCTGGGCAACAGGGCAGAGACAGGCCGTTGAGGGCTGAGGCTTCCTGTTGGGTTTGCACAGAGCAGAGCTCTGGACAAGAACAAAAGGAGGGGCCAAAATATGGATGCCACAGGGACAAAGCCCAGGCCATGTGGGTTGGCCTGGAGCTCAGCACTGGGAAAAGGTCTGGCCACCTAAACCTTGCCCACCCTCTGGACCACAGTGGCCAGCCCTCCATGATGACCCCATCAACAGCTCAGTCCTATGGGGCGGGCCTGTGAGGGACTTGTAACCTCACCGATCAAAGCCCTGCTTGTGTCCCAGGTGCTGGGCCTGGCCAGCAATGCTCACAGACTGGATGGCCCCGAGTCCCCTGCTCCTCTTCTAAGTTCCTTCCATTATTGAGGCTATCTATGCAGGGGAGGGATGACCACACCCCAGGAGCCCATTTGATTTGCACACCATCCTTCATCATCCCTCCAGGACTTCCTGGCTGAGACTCTGAAGCACCCTAGTAATGCTGGGGCCCACAAGTGGGCACCTTACAGCCTGGTCAACCCTGGCTAGGGCCCCAGACCCCTCCTCCTACTGCCCACTAAGTATTCAGGCCCCAGAGGGCAGGGACAGGCTCTGAGGACAACAGACTCCCTCACTCATTGGGGGTGACGCAGTCCTTGATGTACGCTTTCTCCAGGGCCTGCATCGTCTTCACCACTGCAAACAGCTCCGCCATGTTGTCGTACCTGAGGACAACCTGTCCATCAGACCACGCCCTGAGGCAGGGACACTGAGGCTCAGAGCCCACATGCCAGTGCCCTTTCCCTGGAGGCACAGCTGTGGTGAGCTGAGGTTAGCCTGCCTCTCTTACCTATCCTGGGCAGATGCCCCTCAGGACCTGTTCCCAGCCAACCCCATGTCCACCCTGACCTGGTGTGGGCATGTGGGTTGGGGGCAGCCTGGGGGCTTGGACTTACTTCTCCCGCTCCCGAGCATTCTTGTACAACTTCACTTCCTGTCGGAGAGAGTGAGCAGGGTGTTGGCTGCAGAGCCCTGGTGAGGGTCACGTGGGTGTTTACTGTTGGCCAATGCCAGCCAAGTGGGCATCTGCCACTCACCTCATACAGTTCCGGCTTGTTCCCAGGGGCTGCAACAGAACAAGAAAAAAGCTGGGGCCGGGCATGGTGGCTCACGCCTGTAATCCTAGCATTCTGGGAGGCCTAGGTGAGGGGATTGCTCGAGGTCAGGAGTTCGAAACCAGCCTGAGCAAGAGTGAGACCCCGCCTCCACTATAAATAGAGAGAAATTAATTGGCCAACTAATATATATATATAGAAAAAATTAGCCATGCATGGTGGCGCATGCCTGTAGTCCCAGCCACTTGGGAGGCTGAGGCAGTAGGATTGCTTGAGCCCAGGAGTTTGAGGTTGCTGTGAGCTAGGCTGACGCCACAGCACTCACTCTAGCCTGGATAACAAAGCGAGACTCTGTCTTAAAAAAAAAAAAGAAAAAAAAGAAAAAAGCTGCTACGCTAGCCACCAAGCTGATCCCAGAGCGGGCTCTGTGCCCAGCCTCCTCTTTAGTTCCTTCCCCAAGGCCTCTCTGTGCTACGTATGTCCCAGAGCCCAGAGGGAGCTGGAAGAAAGGGTTCCAAGCTCACTCCCCTCAGTCTGTTGAGAGGGCCTGGGCAGGACACCGCTTTGGGGGGGCTTGATGCCAGGCCAGCCTCCCCTGTTCCATTGCTGCTCCTTGGCTACATCACCTGTATAGCAAGGTAACTACACCTTGCTCACAGTACCATGATACAGTGCAAACAAGGCTTGTCACACACTTTATAGCCTTTCCCCTGGGCTTGGTGACACAGGGATACCCAGAACCCCCGAGGTCTCTATGCACAGCAGGGTTCTGTTTGCAGGAGGTCTCTGGGCTCTCAGTGCTGTGATAAATTGCACTCTGGCCCATCCCCCAAGACTGTATGTGACCAGGGTAGGGGTGGGAGACTTACAGATACCCCCAGCCCCCACCATGCCATCCTGTTAGTCCCTGGGCTCAGCTCAGGCCACACTTACCTCCCATGCCCGGAGTGGCTGGGATCCCGTGAAACATCCTGCAGGCTCTGGCAGCCACGGCACTGGGACCTGGGGAACAGAGCCAGCACGGGCTCAATGGTGACCCTTGAAACTCCTAAGTGCTGGCCCTGGGGGCTCAGGCCTCATGAAAAGCTTCCTCGCCCTCAAGAGCAAGGGTGCAAACACAGAGCAAGAGCAAACACAGGTGTCACGAGGGCTGGCAGGAGGGAGTGAGGTGGTGACATGCACCCTCAGGACAGCAGAGCAAGGGAGTCAGG